AAGATCAGTCGTGCGATCGTTTTTACGAACTTCTTAGGTTTACGAAGCTTTTGGGAAACGCAGCCCTGGAATTTTACCCAGAAGAAGAACGCGATGCGCGGCTTGATTCAGCTAAAGATATAATTTAATAATATATAATCACTTATACATAATTAATATATAATCAGACGAACTTCTTAGGCTTACGAAGCTTTTGGGAAATGCAGCCCTGGCCCATTATGATCCCATGCAGATCTCAACAATAAGCCCTGAAATCACAGGCAGAGGATCCTTCTCTAAAGCTGACTTTGCAGAAAGTCACTGTGTGATTCACATACGGAGGGAATCGAGGCGGAAATAGGATTTCCGGCAGTTTTTCGGTGGTGTGTATGTGACCCTGATTTCCTAATCCAGTTTACCCAATTCAGCCCAGACAGACAGGCAAGTTTCTGAAGGGTGTCGGATCCCTTTGAGTGTCTGTGTGTGAGAGGAGCAAACGGAGGAGAAGCGGGTGAATGTGAAAATGAGCCTTCATATCGCCAGATGTCTTACTGAAAGGGTTTGAAGATCACTTTCATTCTTCATGTGACGTGATCCTCACAGGCGTCACGCTCGGCTGCGTTTGGTTCCCGCCGGCTGCATCAGTCACGTGAGCGTCTCCTCTCTGACCTCCTGCCGCGATTCTCCACCGAAGAGACGGGCCTTTATTATGCTCCCAAACTACATGAAAGAAGCTTCATCTCCTCATAAAATAAATAACTGTAACTTTAACCAAAATTTTAACAATAACAATAACTATAGCAATTATGATAACTGTAACAACAGCAGTAATAATAACTATAAGGATAACCATAACTGCAACAATAAAAACGATGACTAGAACTATAATCGTTACTGTAACTATAACAGTAACTATAGCTATAATGATAATAACTATAACTACAATAATAACAATAACGATAACTATAGCCATAAATATAATAACCAATGACTATAGCAATATCTATAGCAATAACTTTTAACAATAACAACTATAACAATAATAATAATAATAACCATACGTATAACAATATAAAAACTATAATGTTAATAACAATAAACTTAATTATAACGATAACAATAATAGCAATAACTATAACGACAATAACAATGATTGTAACTATAACAATAATGATAATAACAATAACCTTAACTAAACGTTAACAATAGCAATAACAACAACAACAATAATGATAATAACAATATCCTTAACTATATCAATAGAAATAACGACAATAACGATAACTATAACAATAATGATAATAACAATAACTATAACGATAACAATAGCAATAACAACAACAACAATAATGATAATAATAATATCCTTAACTATAACAATAGAAATAACTATAATGACAATAACGATAACTATAACAATAATGATAATAACAATATCCTTAACTATATCAATAGAAATAACTATAACGGCAATAACGATAACTGTATAAAGACAATAACATAACAATAACGATAACTATAACAATATTGATAATAACAATAACCTTAACTATAACTATAATGCTAACAATAGCAATAACAACAATGATAATGATAATAACAATATCCTTAACTATATCAATAGAAATAACTATAATGACAATAACGATAACTATAACAATAATGATAATAACAATATCCTTAACTATATCAATAGAAATAACTATAACGGCAATAACGATAACTGTAACAATAATGATAATAACAGTAACCTTAACTATAACGATAACAATAGCAATAACAACAACAATAATAATGATAATAACAATAACCTTAACTAAACGTTAACAATAGCAATAACAACAACAACAATAATGATAATAACAATATCCTTAACTATAATTATATGAACTGATAGCAATAACTATAACAACAATAACCATAACGATAACTATAACTATAACAATAATGATAATAACAATAAACTTAGCTGTAATGATAACAATAGCAATAACAACAACAATAATAATGATAATAACAATATCCTTAACTATAACTATATCAATAGCAATAACTATAACGACAATAACATAACAATAACGATAACTATAACTATAACAAATAGAAATAACTATAATGACAATAACGATAACTATAACAATAATGATAATAACAATATCCTTAACTATATCAATAGAAATAACTATAACGGCAATAACGATAACTGTAACAATAATGATAATAACAGTAACCTTAACTATAACGATAACAATAGCAATAACAACAACAATAATAATGATAATAACAATAACCTTAACTATAGCTATATCAATAGCAATAACTATAACGACAATAACATAACAATAACGATAACTATAAAGATAACAATAATAATAATAGCAATAGCAATAACATTTACTATAACGCTAACAATAGCAATAACAACAACAATAATAATGATAATAACAATAACCTTAACTATAGCTATATCAATAGCAATAACTATAACGACAATAACATAACAATAACGATAACTATAAAGATAACAATAATAATAATAGCAATAGCAATAACATTTACTATAACGCTAACAATAGCAATAACAACAACAATAATAATGATAATAACAATAACCTTAACTATAACGATAACAATAGCAATGACAACAACAATAATGATAATAACAATATCCTTAACTATAATTATATGAATTGATAGCAATAACTATAACAACAATAACCATAACAATAACGATAACTATAACTATAACAATAATTATAATAACAATAACCTTAGCTATAATGATAACAATAGCAATAACAACAACAATAATGATAATAACAATAACCTTAACGATAACAATAGCAATAACAACAACAATAATAATGATAATAACAATATCCTTAACTATAACTATATCAATAGCAATAACTATAACGACAATAACATAACAATAACGATAGCTATAACGATAGTTTTAACTATAACAATAATAATAATAATAGCAATAACCTTAACTATAACGCTAACAATAGCAATAACTACAACAATGATAATAACAATATCCTTAACTATAATTATATGAACTGATAGCAATAACTATAACAACAATAACCATAACAATAACGATAACTATAACTATAACAATAATGATAATAACAATAACCTTAGCTGTAATGATAACAATAGCAATAACAACAACAATAATAATGATAATAACAATATCCTTAACTATAACTATATCAATAGCAATAACTATAACGACAATAACAATAATCATAACAATAACTATAACTATACGATAACCTTAACTATAACGATAACAATAGCAATAACAACAATAATGATAATAACAGTATCCTTAAGTATAACTATATCAATAGCAATAACTATAACGACAATAACAATAATCATAACAATAACTATAACTATTACAATAATAATAATAAAAATAGCCACAACTGTAGCAAAAAGAATAACTATAGTAACAGTGAGTATAGCAATAAGTATAACAATAACTGTAAGAATAACTGTAAAAATAACTGTAACGATAGTTATCAATGATCTTGATGGACTCAGATGATTCATATCAAATGAGCAGATTCACATTATGAACACTTGAGTGCAAAACTAAAGACCCGAACCCATCAAACTAATATTAGAAAACAGACTCTTCATTCTGATTGGTTGAGATGCATTTGAAGGCATGTCAATTGCTGATGTTTGTTGCCTTATATGGTCATTTTCTCATAAGTGCTGCTCCAGTTTAATCTCGTCCTGCAGGAATGATTCTTCATTGACTCTCAGTATCCGCGTCTCACTCCAGCTCTTTACCTCCCATCTGCCCTCGTGATTCCTCTCACTCCTGTACGTCTCTCCTGACCTGTCCAGACCAGTCGACTAGTTGGTTTGGGAAATGAATAGTAGTGCATGATGAAGTGAATTCAACAGCCTGAGGTGTGTGAAGTTAATTAAAGCTGCATTAAAGCAGATTCTGTCTCAGATTGAGGTTAATGATCAATCAGATGCGTCAATGTAATCAGACAGACATGTTCGAAAAACACACCCAAAATACTCGTCTGGACATCTCAGTGTGAGGCCTGTAAATAAAACGTTGATTGTGTTCGAATCACATCCAAAAATAATCAGATTTACAGGTGTATATTTAGAGTGAATATTCATCTGTAAATCTGATTAAATTACATGTGATTTTGCAGTGTTATTTTTATAGTTTTAACGTTTTGTTGTGTTTTTATATGTAGATAGATGGATGGATGGATGGATGGATGGATGAATGAAAATGAAGATGCTAAATGCACGTGTATAAAAACCTCCTGCGTTTGTAGGTTTTCATGAAGATGCAAACAATGTACACAAAACCTATTTCACACACACACACACACACACACACACACACAGAGAGAGAGAGAGTTTGCAGTCAATCAGCAGCTGCTCGTCTGGGGCAGTTTAGTAGATAGAAATCTCAACACGTCAGGCAATTTCTCAGTCCCGTCTGTCTCTGTGAGGTTTTCAATGTCAAGGTCAGCGCTCTTGTGCTCTTGTGAAGCTGTAGTGTAGTTGCTAACTGTGTTTTACTGCATCATCATCTCTCATGTATTGTATCCTGATGCTGTTTTGTTCAGAGTTTGTTGAATGAGTCCGTGTGGATCCTGCTTCTGCTCCTGATGGGATTCTGCTGTTTTACATCTGTTCCATTCTAAGGATCACCGTTATTGAGGAGTTTAAAACAGACTAATGGGGGTCCACATTTTGCTAGCAAGGGTCTGAATTCTAAACACTTTTCCTCTCGTAGGTGTTTAAATATTTAAACATGATTAATGATCAGAGTGAATCGGCCAAATAGAGCAGCCTGGGTTAGCAGTTCACCGTCCGCTGTGCTTCTGCAGCCGGCTAGAAAGGCTCAGACATCAGAAAGGCTCCTAAAACAGTCTTCGTTCATTTCTGATTTCTGTCTTTGGATGTTGTGGTGAGATGCGGCGTGTTTCTGATGCTTGTGTGTGTGTTGTTTCTGTGTGTTCCAGCGGTGGTCAGTGCCATCCCGGTGCCCACGCTGGACAGCAGTCAGTATCCGGGCATCCTGCCATCGCCCACCTGCGGATTCACCACACACCCCAAATTCACCCTGCGGCCCATGCCTTTCTCCACGCTGAGCGTCGACCGCAGTTACGCTGCCGGTAATACACCTACCTGTCTGTCTGTCTATCTGTCTATCTATCTACCTGTCTATCTGTCTGTCTGTCCGTCCGTCCGTCCGTCCGTCCGTCCGTCTGTCTGTCTGTCTATCTATCTATCTATCTATCTATCTATCTATCTATCTATCTGTCTGTCTGTCTGTCTGTCTGTCTGTCGTTATATCAGTTGTTATATTCTTCATTATGTCTATCTATAGTTCATTATGTTGTACAATCTATCTATCTATCTATCTATCTGTCTGTCTGTCTGTCTGTCCGTCCGTCCGTCCGTCCGTCCGTCCGTCCGTCCGTCCGTCCGTCCGTCCGTCCGTCCGTCCGTCCGTCCGTCCGTCCGTCCGTCCGTCCGTCCGTCCGTCCGTCCGTCCGTCCGTCCGTCCGTCCGTCCGTCCGTCCGTCCGTCCGTCCGTCCGTCCGTCCGTCCGTCCGTCCGTCCGTCCGTCCGTCCGTCCGTCCGTCCGTCCGTCCGTCCGTCCGTCCGTCCGTCCGTCCGTCCGTCTGTCTGTCTACCTGTCTATCTGTCTGTCTATCTATCTGTCTGTCTGTCTGTCTGTCCGTCCGTCCGTCTGTCTGTCTGTCTACCTGTCTGTCTGTCTATCTATCTGTCCGTCCGTCCGTCCGTCCTTCCGTCTATCTATCTATCTATGTCTGTCTGTCTGTCCGTCCGTCCGTCCGTCCGTCCGTCTGTCTGTCTACCTGTCTATCTGTCTGTTTCCGTCTATCTATCTATCTGTCTGTCTGTCTGTCCGTCCGTCCGTCCGTCCGTCTGTCTGTCTACCTGTCTATCTGTCTGTCTATCTATCTATCTGTCCGTCCTTTCCATTTTTTTTTTTTTTTTTTTTTTTTTTATTCTATCTTGGATTACTTGTGGATTATTGTGATGTTTTTATCAGCTCTATCTACCTGTCTATCTGTCTATCTGTCCGTCCGTCCGTCTGTCTGTCTGTCTACCTGTCTATCTGTCTGTCTATCTATCTGTCTGTCCGTCCGTCCGTCTTTCTGTCTAT